TGAATGCCTGGAGAGCGAAGGCGCGCTGCAATGTGGTGCCCGATGAGCGGACACAGGAGCTCTTCCACGAGCTAAGCTTTCATCCGAGCCAAAAGCAAAGTAAGTAAAAATTATGAAAAATTATGAAAATTATGAAAATTATGAAAATGATGAAAACTAATGGGAATTTTCCTTGAACAGTCAGCGAAATGCTGCAAACGGCCAAGAAGGTGGCCCGCAAGGGTCGGGGGCAGACGAACGGCTTGACATTCGGACAATTTTGTGTGCTGGCCGCGGATCTGAAACGTTTTCGGTGAGTTCCTCCATCGAATCGATTTGTGTGAACTGAAAATAAGAGTAAAATTTGTTTGACATCATTTAGCGCCTCAAACTTATCGAACGCATCGAACTTCACTGATGTTAGATACCAACAACTCTCCAGCTCTCTACTGCAGCAGCAGGACGATGCTGCCCAAGCAGCGAATAGCTCCAATAAAACGCAAACGTCTGGGCAAGCCGCAGCCAATGCAGCGACAACAACAACAACAACTACAACACCTGCCTCTAAGCATTACAACAAGAAATCTGAGAATTATGCCACGGAGCTGCGCAGTACAAAATCATTTAGCAGCGTCGACGACACCAAGAAGAAGAAGAACGCCAGCAATGAGCCAGTCGAAGTCTTCCTCGGCGGCTCCTGCAACCCAACCACATGGCGAGCCGATGTAGCTATACCCGCACTAAAAGAGCTGGGCATTTCATTCTATAATCCTGTACGTATAACAAAATTGAGATATCTGTAGAAATTTCTATATTAACAATTCGATTATCCAACGCTGCAGCAAGTATCCGATTGGACGCCCGATCTCATTGAATTGGAGCATCGAGCCAAGGAAAAGGCACGCGTATTATTCTTTGTTATGGATTCGGAAACACGCGCATCTGCTGGTGCCATCGAGGCGGCACACATAGCGGGTCAAAACTGCAAGCAGCTGGTGTTGGTTTTGCATCCCTATAAACCAAATCAGAATATCCTGCATGAGCCTATTTCGCATCAGTATGTTAACTCGAGTCAAACTATCCTTGAATTCTATTTACTTATTTCGATTTCTTTTTATAGAGAATACCTCGATTTAAGTCGCAATCAAATGATACTTAAGGAGCTGGTCTCCCGTCGCGGTCTGCCAGTGTTGGATAACATACCGTCTGGCCTGCAGCGCACCAAGGATATCTTATCTGGCATCAGAGATCCACCGTCCAAAATATCTTCTATATTAGAGTGAGTATTGAGAGAGAGATAAGAGATGAGAGATGAGAGATGGGAGAAGGGAGATGGGAGATGTGAGATGAGAGGTGGGAGATAAGAGATAAGAGATACAGAGATACAGAGATGACTAATGACTAATGACTAATGACTAATGACTAATGACTAATGACTAATGACTAATGACTAATGACTAATGACTAATGACTAATGACTAATGACTAATGACTAATGACTAATGACTAATGACTAATGACTAATGACTAATGACTAATGACTAATGACTAATGACTAATGACTAATGACTAATGACTAATGACTAATGACTAATGACTAATGACTAATGACTAATGACTAATGACTAATGACTAATGACTAATGACTAATGACTAATGACTAATGACTAATGACTAATGACTAATGACTAATGACTAATGACTTATGACTAATGACTAATGACTAATGACTAATGACTAATGACTAATGACTAATGACAAATAGAATCCGTTCGTTGTTCCGTAAACTGAGCTTCGTTAAACTGAACTCTCTCTTGAAATTAGAGGAAGTTACTTTAATAGGCATTCTTAATGCGATTCCTTATATAAAAATAAAATATATGAATATTATCATAATAAATCTCATATCTAATAAAACTACATCTCTTCTATCTTTGCAGTACCGTACGCGGCGCCTTCGATCGCGTCAATCCCCAAAGCGAACTACTCACTGTGGAACAGTGTAAACGTGCTCTCTTATTTTTAGGCTATGCTCAGAGTTTAGTTAATTTAGATAATCTGAATAAGATAATAATCAATCAACGCGAATCACTGAAACTATTACAAACGCAAAGTACAAAGGCGGGCGAGCAGCAACTGGAAGAGGAGCCGCCTCAGAGAAGCTGCCAGGAGCTGATCGATTTCGATCTGTTCTGTGTGATCTCCGCTTACCTCTCAGTGCTGCAGCAGGAGATACACGAGAGCGGCTGCATTTCGCCCATCAAGGGCACGAATGTGCCGCCGCCGCAGGTCTACTTTACCAACGGTGAGCTGAATAGCTGAATAGCTGAATCACTCTATCGAGACAGCTGAACTAACGTTTCTTTCGTTTTTTGTTTGCCAACTGCAGCTCCTGATGTGGACATCTATTATGCTGCCAGCAAGAATATATCGCGCACGTCAAGCAATGCCAGCGTCCCGTCGAATAGCAGCAGCGGCATTGGCCACGATCTGGAGCGGCAGAGCCTGTTCGAGCAGCTGAGCCGCAGTCGGGATAGCGGCACCTCGTCGCCGCAGCCGCTGGGCGGCGCGTCCATAGGTAAAAAATTGCAGCCACACATAATGCTGAATGTGGAATCGATAGAGACAACTGAAATAATCACAACCAAAACGATAGAAACCAAACCGTTTATGGCTGTCAGCAACACCAACAACAACAGCAACAACGCCAACAGCAGCTGCAGCAGCAGCAGCCATCAGCCCGCCCCGGAGGAAGAGGAAAGCGATTCCAATGACTCGGTCTTCTCCAGCAGCAGCTCGATAGCCAGCGCTGGCGATGCCCTCTGCTGCTCTGGCCTGGATCTGCGCGATGTCTATTTGGGCGGCAGCTGTGTGCTGCGCACCAAGTGGCGCCAGCAGCTGGCCGCTCCCTATCTGCAGTCCAAGAACGTTAGCTTCCATACGCCCGCGCTGCACGAGAGCATTCAGCAACTGGCCACGCAGCAGCCAGAGCAAACGACGTCGACAACGCCGCAAGTGGCTGCCGCCCAGGATCAGCAACAGCAGCAGCAGCACTCCTTTGTGCGCACGCGACGAAAGTGTCGTGGCAACCAGCTGCAGCTGGAGGAACAGGAGGAGCTAACCGTGGCCGAGGAATCACTGAGCTGGTCGCTGCCGCCCATGGCAATGCGCCAGAGTCTCTACAATCCCGCTCTCTTGGACTCCAGTCGTGTGCTGCTCTTTGTCATCACCAACGAGACGCGATCGCTGGCGCCCATGACTCTGGCTGCCCACTGCATTGGACTCATGTACAACGTGGTGCTCGCCGTGCAAATGTTGCCCGAGGACTGTGTGTTGGGCGGTGAAAAGGTGAGCGAGATGGGAAAGTTAGATTGGGCTTATGGGAAAATCTAATTGGGTTAGTTAGAAGCTAGTATATGAGTTCTGAGAAAAAATGGTATAAAATTGTTTATTTTTAAATTCTCACAATATTAAATATTTGCATATATATCAATAATTTCTCACATATTTTTAGAGTCTAACTAAAATTTCTAATTTAATTCAAATTGGATTTTTCATTAATTGTGAAACTTTCTTTGCCATAAAATTTCTAATTGTGATTCCAATTGGGTTCTTTATAGTTAACTGTGGCCGCCATCAAGGACTACAATCGCGGTCGCTCGTATCTAATTGATCTGGCCAAGCGGCAGGGTGTGCCCGTGTTCAATGACATCCAAGCGGCGCTTGAGTGCACCGTGGCCAAGGTGCGCGCGTATAATAACAGAGAGCGCAGCTAAAAAGAAGAACATAAAGAAATGGAAAAATCAATCGTACCTGTGTTTCAGTTCTGCAGCACGTGACAAATCTAAGCTAAATTTTTAATACTTAGTGCAATTTATGTAACTGTCTATTTAATTTAATTTCCTTTTTCATATTTTATGGCCTTACTATAAAAGAAAAACAAAAACAAAAACTTTCTTAACAAATGTGTCTTAATTGTAATTGATATGAAAAAAAAACAAAAAAAAAATCTGTACTAAACTTTGCTACGTATAACTGTTTCCCCACTATGCTTACATACATATATATTATAGATACGTATACGTAATATTCCTGTAAAACTGTAAATGAAATATGTCGTCGCCCAGAGAGCGCATTTCAAAACAAAAACAAAAACAAAATGGAAGAAAGCATTTTGCTTTATACTAATTTATTATTTATTTAAAATACCTTAACTGTACATGTATGCATGTGCATTAACTGAACAACTGTAAATATTAAACACATACATGCATACACACACATACATATATATATATATATATTTAAAATATTCATAAATTTAAGTAAATAATTCAAATATATTTAAATATTTAGTGAGCATTAAACCATATTTACATATACTTAAAAAACAAAAAACATATTAATTTAGTGGCCCACTGTACCCAGTTAGCAGGCAAAAATATCTCAATAAACAAGTTTTTCTAACATAACACAAAAATTTTATATAAAAACATAAAATTTAAATTAAAAAGATTTAATTCATTCAAACAGCTAGGCAGCGATCGCTCTGTTAAATAACAGCTGATTAACATTTATCACAGTTGTGGTAGCTACACAGATATCGATTACAATCATATCGATATTTATAGTATTAGCTTTTTGGAACAGCTGGCAGCACGCTTTTCGATCAGCCGCCCACAGTGCGGCGCACTATGCGACGTGACAAGTGACACACACATACACATGCACGCGAGTAGTGTGTGGAGAGTGAGAGAGGGAGAGAGCGCGCACGAGAATGCCACATTCTTACGCTCTCCGCAAATATTGTTAAAATTTGTGATTTGTTGCTATTTTTTTTTTTGGCGTAGCTTCTTTTTGGTAAACATACAAAAGTTGGCATTTTTGGTTGTATTGTTCGATAAACCCTTTGAATCTGGTTTCGCTTGCCTGCCAATTGCTACGTTCTTCACATTCCCTCACTCACCGACCAATTCGCTGTGCCGTTGGATTTTGCCACTTTGATTTTCAGTCGCCTATTGCTCGTATTCGTCTGTGGTACGTACTGTGCCCTCGTCTAGTTGGACTGTGTGTATTAGTGTGAGCGTGTGGGTTCAGTCAACCCGCTGCCAGCGGCACAGGCCCCCGCTCCAAAAATAATGCAAAGTGTGTAAAATTTTGATTAACAAAAAAAAAAAACAATCAGGCACGCGCGTTTTATGCAATTCTGACGTGTTTTTAAACAGCAAGTGAATAACACAAAAAATATTGTTTGATTTTTGCAAAAACAAATACGTAACAGCAACAGCGGCGTCTGTGTGCTCATGTGTGTGTAACCAAAGCAGCTGTGTAAGTGTAGACGCGAGCGTGCCAAAGAAAAAGAGAGGCAGAGCGAGCAATGAAGTGATAAGTGCATACCGCTCTCATGCTCAAGCTCTCTCTCTCCCTCTCTCTGTGTGTGTGCGAAGGGACTTGTTGCTGCCGTCGCTGGCGACCGTTGCAGACAGAAGCCGTAGTTGAGTTCAAGTGACGACTTCGCACTGAGAACGACCAAAAACAAAAACAATAACAAGAAATATATATATATCGTTTTTGATTGATATAAATGAATATGCAGCAACAGAGTCGCAGCTGAAAATAAAATAAAATCATTTTAATGTCCAAGTGTTCGCCGTTACGTCTTTAATTGGCGCGCAGCAAGAAATACACACAAACAACAAACACAAGCACGAACACACACTCGTCTATATAACATCAAGAGCAACAATAACAATAATAATAACAGTAGGACAGGCAAAAGCCGCTTAAGTGCAACAGTAATAAAAAATAATAATAAGAAAAGAGCCAAAGCAAAACAAAGAAATAGCAATAAGAAGCACACGAAGAGGTGTGCAAGCGTGTAAAATACGATTTGAGTGCCAAAAAAGAAGAAAAAATTAAAAACATCAGCTTTCAATTATAAAGACGAACCATGCAAAAAGCACAAATAGGAAGGAAATCAACAAGTGTGTGACGCGCGTCTCCGTTCGTTCGGTCGTCTGCTCTGCTTCGCTTTCATTCATGCGGTCAACTAGAGTCAACAGCCATAACAGCAGCGGCAGCGTCTGATAAAAACCCAAAGCAACAGCAAAAACAAAAGTAACTGCATACCAGTAATAACAACAACACCAACAACGACAGCTACTTCCAACGGCGAGCTTTCAAGTAAGTTTCCATATGCAACCGTGTGCGTGCGTGTGTGAGTGCATATAGATGTGTATGTGTGTGCAATTAAAGACACACACTCACACATACACACCTTCATTCGCTCTTCTGCATGTGTGTGTTTTGCCTATTTGCTTAACATTTCAGCTATTCAAGCTTTTAGTCTTACTTAGTATATTGACTGCCATTCAACCATGGACACGTGTGTCGCGTGCAAACAGAGCTTTGCATGCGTCGAAAATCTAGCTGATAGATAATTGCCAGAGACAAATTGCCATACTTGATGAGCTAGTCATAAGGTTAGAGTAGAGAGCCAATTGCTGTTTGATCTCTTATCGTTAATAGATAGATAGAGAGCTAGGTACATAACCAAATGAGAATAGTTCGATTGAACGGTTCATTAAATTGAACTACTGAACTATTTGCGGGTGATCAGTGAACGATATATTTGAATCGATTAGGAACGATGATGATGATGACGTCTGTTTGTTACGTTCCAGACTGATGAATGAATAACTGACCTGTTCATGAACGAAAGATTCTATTGAGCTATTTAAGTACTAATGCGAATTGCTTACGAACCACAAAACAAGCATCAATCAAGAACTGCTAAGCTAACGGAACTAGTTCTTAGAATTGACTACGCAATTGAACTAAATCAAATCATGAGTTTAAAATAGATTTCATGATTCATGAACAGCTGAAATATCTTAACTAGAGAATAAATTGAATATATATGAACAGATTAGATAGTATAGTTATAATGAAAAGAAATGTGTTCCGAAATGAGTTTTTTCTTTCAAAATGAAAATGCTTTGAACTTAACATCAACACTCATTTATACGTATTGTTGACTCGTTCAGTTTATATATAATAATCGCTTCAGATTTCCAAATTTTTTGAAGTTGAAATATTCTTCAGTCTCTGTATATTGCACATATCCATACAGTTTAAGCGAAATTCAAAATGTGTTCACGTGATCCGGCTTCCAATCAGTTAATCGATTACAAGAACAAAGATTCAGAACCACCCAAGGAATGCACCACTTCGGGTGGCATACCTATTGGGGTCAAGGATGCAATACAGACGATTGGGCCGCGAGGCCCTGCTCTGCTGCAGGATTACATTTTCCTTGACGAGTTGGCGCATTTCGACTCGGAACGTATACCAGAGCGCGTGGCCTATGCCAAGGGCGCCGGAGCCTTTGGGTACTTCGAATGCACCCATGATATAACCAAATTCTGTGCTGCATCGATTTTTGATCGTGTCAAGAAACGGACAGCGATTGCCATGAGGTTCTCAGTGGCCTGCGGTGAGAGTGGATCGGCGGATACGGTGCGTGAGCAGCGAGGATTTGCGATCAAGTTCTATACGGAGGATGGCATCTGGGATTTGGTGGGCTGCAATATGCCCGTGTACTATGTGCGGGATCCGGCGCTCTTCCCCAGTCTTGTGCATGCCCAGAAACGTAATCCACAGACGCATCTCCGGGATCCGGACATGTTCTGGGACTTTATGTCGCTGCGAGCGGAGACAATGCATGCTCTGCTCATGTATTTCAGTGATCGGGGCACTCCCGATGGCTATCGGCATATGCATGGCTATGGCGGCCATACCTACCGCATGGTAAATCCAAGTGGTGAAACTTTCTATGTTAAGTTCCACATGAAAACAGATCAGGGTATTAAGAATTTGGATGCACGTCGCTGCGCAGAGTTGGCCGCTCACGATCCAGACTATTCAATACGTGATCTGTATAATGCCATCAAGAAGGGCAACTATCCCAGTTGGAGTTTGTTTATTCAGATAATGCTCAACGAGGAGGCCAGAAAGTGTAAATTCAATCCTTTCGATGTGACCAAGGTGTGGCCGCAAAAGGAGTATCCTCTGTTACCAGTCGGCAAATTGGTACTAGATCGTAATCCCACCAATTACTTTACAGAAGTCGAACAGTTGGCATTCAGTCCGGCTCATATGGTCCCTGGCATTGAGCCGTCGCCAGATAAAATGCTTCAGGGCCGTCTGTTCGCCTACGGCGATACTCAGAGATATCGTCTGGGTGTTAACTATATGCAGATCCCTGTCAACTGTCCTTATCGTGTGAATATCAAGAACTTCCAACGTGATGGCGCGATGACTGTCAACGATAATCAGGATGGTGCACCCAATTACTTTCCCAACTCCTTTTGTGGTCCCAAGGAGAGCGCTCGAGCGCTTGCTCTGCAGACCTGCTGTCCCGTTTCGGGTGATGTCTATCGCTATATGAGCGGCGATACGGAGGATAATTTCAGTCAAGTCACCGATTTCTGGACCTACACTTTGGACAATTGCGGACGTAAGCGTCTGGTGCGCAATGTTTCGGAGCATCTATCGGATGCCAGCCAATTCCTCCAGGAACGCGCCGTTAAGCTCTTTACCATGATCCATGCCGACTTCGGACGACTCATGACAGAGGCTCTAAACACAGCCAAGATCTCTAAGTTCTAGTGATTATTGTAATATTTTTGATTGTTATATTTGTTTCAATTGGTTATTGTAATATTTGATTGAATAAATTGTTGAGCATAAAGTAAGAAAATAAAAATGTGGGTTCTATATCCTCATTTCTCAAAATAGGTATAACTATTTTGATATTAGAGTGGAATCAAATGCGCTTGTCACGGTATAACAGTTGTTAACAGTAGAAACGTTGCTTTATATATAATATATTATATATAATATAGTCGCATTATATTTCATTAAGCTCAATATTGTATTTAATAGGTAGACCATATCATTGACGATTCCTAGTATATCGCTTTCTATCCATATTCCCAGCTATCTCAGTTTTCATATATACGAGTATATCAAAACATATTCTATATCTATATCCATATTTCTATTCGACACACATGATATTCATACAAAGGATAGATATAGGATAGTATTATTCTTATACTTAAACTAGCCTATTATAACATTCGTATGCCCACTAAATGTCATATTTAACAGGAAGCTATTCTACCAATACTATATGCAAAAACCCTATTCCACTACCTGAAAATAAGAGTCACGTTTCAGGCACGATCTGAAATATATAAAAAGCTGTTGCCGTGGAGATTAAGTAAAGGGGTAAAGCCGTCCCGATTTGATAGTGAGGACCACGTATATAGTTGCCATTGGCTTATCAAACATTTATGGCTAAAAAATAATAAACGTTTGATAATAATCACTAACTTCTTATCACTGAACCTGAAATTTGTTGTTCTCCACTTTTTTTTTCCGATAGAGAAATGAAGAAATTTTTTTCGACTGTTTATTTCAACGGGCTTTCGGAATAGATTATTTCAATATGATATTTATTTTGGCGCTACGAGTCACAAAAAGCTCTGCGCGTGGGGTGTGTCATAGAGTTGCTTTGGTTTATGAATTGCTCATAAAAATGGACAACTAAAAATGCAGATAAAGCCAATATATCACCAGGCATATATATATATATGTTAGCTGGATCATAAAAATTGGCTCCCTGCCTCGCCTGTCATGTAACCAGAACATAGCTGTATTATACTTAGTATTTTATTGAGGATATTATGGCGGCTTATCGTTCGCTCGCTCCGATCGAAAACCCATTAAAGCTATATAAGACACATTTACGTGTTTCAAATATTGATAGACTAGTTGTATTACAGTTTCCATATATATATATATAAACTAAGCACTTATCGTTATCGTTCGTTTACAGTTGCTAAGCATGACTCGCACATGATTGTGAATTATATTTGATAAGAACGTACACTCGTTTATTATGAAGCACCCCCAAGATCTGACAATTACCGATGGACAGCAGCTAATGGAGATTAATAAAGTGGAGCAAATGGAGCAGGAGCTCAATGAGCCAGGTGAGTGTCATCTAAGGGCTATTAGCCGTCAAGTCTTGAGCACTCATATAACAAAATCGATCGATAGATTCGATTCGGTGTGATAGCTAATCAAGTTATCAATATCATAAATATAAAAATTATATTGAAGCTTAATCCTAAATCATATATATATGCTTCGTTAAGGTATTTTTGTTAATCTATACAATGACTTAAATACTTGAGGGGCTAGAACATTTAATTGGTTACTCCAAAAAACATCGAAAATGAATTGCTCATAAATTTATATCGATCAATTAGTGTTAAGGAAGAAATACAACTATATGCTAAAATATACATGAATAAACTGCATAACCACGTTAATGCTCTAGCACTAAGACTACTGGATGACTCAAGCAACCAAAGGCGACTTAAAAGATTTCATGTCCTAGACCTGCCCTACAGAAATAGATAAATATATAAAGTAGGTAAAGATATGGATTAATCTCATTGGAGCCCAGGCCATCCGGTTATGTAATATTATTGTTAAAACATTTGTTTATTGTCTAGTATAAGACAGATTGCAAATAAAAACAGCAATTTAAAAAAAAAAAAAAATATATATATATATATATATATATATATATATATATATATATATATATATATATATATATATTAATATGATCACATTAAAACACAGTCCAAAAATACTCCGTAATTATTATATTAAATTCAGAAAAATTCTGAAATTACTCCGAATTGATTGCAAAATGTATTATAAAATGCAAATTAAAATAAAAAACTCCGAACATACTCCGAATTTACCTACGCAAATTAAAAGGCAAGAATATTTCCGACTCCACACTCCGAAAAAATGTTTGTTGTACATCCAAGTGAATTATGTTAATGAGCTACTTAGCAATGTTTGTTTTTGCTGCTGAAACAATTAGAAATCCGTTTATACTACTCCGAAATTTTAGATGCCATAAACTCTTAAGTTCAGGGTAGCAATTTCACCTGCCTGCCACGTGGCACGTGCCCGGCCAAAAAAAAAAAGCAAAACATGTACACATAAATGCGCTCAAATTGCGTTTTATATATGCGGATTGCAGCACATGGAACAATATAGGAGTATGCTAGAAGGGGAGGTGGGCGCGTGAATTATAAATAGAAGCGAGATAGCCTTGATAAACCAGCTTGCGAATGGGCGCTTGATAAGCCAGACGAGCAATCATTGTAAATGTTTATAATTTGTTTATTGATTAGCAAGAACTTGTTGTTGGGCGAGCAGATTAAAAAATTGATTAGTCGTGATATAAGCAACTGTTTTACGATCCAATAATTGCAAGCAAAAAATATATATATGTATACATATTTATATAGTAAATAAGCTAAATTGCTAACATGAAGTTTTACAAGACGGCTTAAAATGTTGCTGTCGGGACAGAACTAAAAAACAAAAACAGAAAAACTTAAATTAAAACATTGAAAATAAATCTCAAAATGGCGCGCAAAATAAAAACGAAATACGAAATCGTAAGCGTAATGCTTAACTTAACCCCAAAGGGTTAAATATGCGCAATAGCAAGCACATACGACTTAAAACAAAAAATAAGGAAAACAACAAAAAAAAACTGAGTGAAAAATAAAACCTAGTCGTTGTCGCTGTCGATCTGAAGTGGCCCGGGCTCAAGCCCCTAGACATAAGCCCAGCATTTAATTGTTGAATATTTATAGCTAGCCTAGGCGAGCTAGCCAGCCAGATGTTGACGGAACAGGCCCCTCTCCGGTATGGTTCTGTAGTGTCACCTTTTTAAGCGCTACGCTGACATGACGAAAACAATTTTCAGCTGAAACGCACTCGGCTACTCGCACTTAATATGATTTTTCAACATTGAAATCAGGCATTATATGAAAATAAAAATAAAAAACAAAGAAAAAAACTAGAGTAAAGTAAAGTTAACTAAAGTGAAGTAAAACAAAAAACAAAAAAATAAAACCCGTGCCAAGTAGTTGAGGCATTTGACTGACCCACCCAAAGCTTAATATATTTACACAACACATATAAACTATATGCCTATATGCCTATATACATATATATTTAACTCTGCGCTGATATTATTCTATGGAGGTTATCGGCTAGACGCGAACTCAATTGATTTGTGCATTGCCCCGATTTAATAATATTTAATATATTCCGTGCCCCGCCCCCTCGATCCTGCACTTACGTGAAGGTCTTGTTTTCTTAGTTCGGTTTTTATACTGGATTGCTTATAATTATAATTAAAAATTTAAAGGCTATCTAGATAGTATTTCCGTGCTTATGAAATATATGTATGCTAGCACGATATCAACATCGTTTGCTCCCAAGTGGGTTGTTTCTATTTATATATTTGTTTATTTTTCTTCTCTTTTAGTTTTTATATCCGCTTCGGACACTCGTTAATTTAATCATAGAGATAATAGAGTCGCCTTATGTCACATAAAAGTGAAAACAATAATGCAATTGCTCTTGGGCTCTTGAACTGATTCCGAAACTTTAGATAAATGTCGGTATTGCTTTTTTACTGAATGAATAAATTATGATAATATGAATTAAGATAAAGCACCTGTCATTTCTTTAAAGTTTATATTGGCCTTCAATCTAATGAAAATTAGACCATATTTATGCAAATTATCAGTTCTGTATTAAATAATTTGTACCCAATATGGTAAATGGTAATATAATGAAAAAATTGAGTAAGCTTCTATTTGACATAGCACAAAAAAAAAACAGAAAAATCTACTCCGAAAAAATATACTCCGAAAAATGAACACTCTGAAAATGGCTATTCCGTAAAATTAATGCTTCAATTAATAAGTAGTCCGAAAAATGAACACTCCGAAAAACGTTCCATTCGAAAAATGAAAACTCCGAAAAAAGATTTTTCCGAAAAATAAATATTCCAAAATATGAAATATTGAAAAAACACGAATAATACATAAAATAGGTATTCCGTAAAATGAATACCCCGAAAACTAGGTATTCTAAAAAATTAGCTTTCCAAGAAAAAGAACACTCCGAAAACTGAATATTTCGTCCAAAAATTAGTATGTGTTGAAAAACAACGGAATCAAGACACAGTTGAGTCTACTCCGAAAAAGACTATTCCGAAAAAGTGATTTAACACCCAAAACTATGAAGCACGCCTAAAACAATTCTATCAGCACTTTTAGTTTGCTCTAGCACCGCTCCGAATCAATTACCTTGACTCTGAAAAATTTGTTTCCTGAGCGCTTTAGCCACCATTATCTAATTCGGATAGAGAGGAGCTAAGCGCTCAACTTTATTCCGAGTCAAGTGTTAAGTGCCGAGTTAGTTGATAGTTTTCTAGTTGTTTCCAACGCTACGATACGAGCCCAACACTTGAGCTGATTTTTCAATTAGGCGGTCACCTTTTCTCAATTTCAGAAAGAAAGATCTTCTCTACACATATGAATATATAACATACAGATACAGAAACAGATAGAGATAGATTTAGTTGCATATAGATGCATGCGAAGCACTCAACAATGTGGACACATTTCACTTAAAGTTGTCGCCGCCTAATGAAGTGTAAATAGTAAATTGCAGTCAAACATTATGAATATCATCAGTGATCATCATGACCATTATCATGATGATGATGATGAATGTGCTGAGCATCATTATTGTCATAACAGTCATGAATAATAGCAATAACAATTGCAACTGCAATTGCTTAATGATAATGCTGTTCATGACGCAGATGACGAACAACACATGCAAATCACATGGCTATGCTATGGATATAAAATTCTCTCACACACACACACACACACACTGATTCTCACTCACACTCAGTCACTGCAAAAATAAACTCAGCTCCATCGCTTTGTATGGTTAATATAAATATGTATGCAAATAAAATAATAAAATTTTCGCACAAAACTCACTTAACGAACTACACAGAAGAAGGAGAAAGGGGAGTTCAAAGCGGGACGTGGGGCCATATTGTGGGGTAGCGGTGCGGTGTCTTTTGGCTTGGCTAATTTTCATATTTCTCTGGAAATTGACAGACACTCAAGTTATCCACATGTGCGCAGGCCGGGAAAATGCGACATGCAAACACACACACACATGCATACACTCGCACAACACATCACACAACAATGCCATGAACATGACATGCATTTTATTATACCCTGTAAGTGACAGTGAAAGTGGGGCTATAAACAGATCTGGCGATGATGTATAGACAGCGTGAAGATTTCTTTGGATATGCACAACTAATTTAAGCTAAATGAGAACAGTTAGGCTCAACTGATCTAGAAGTAAATGCTAATCTGTATGTTATTTCAAAATTAAGGAGTAAACTCTTGTTGCTATATTCTTAATGTATCAGGGAATAAATGTTTTTAATGAAACGCTTCTATCTGGCCCTAAACCTTAAGACTATAGGGTATATATTCGCCAAGCATTACTTTCGCGCAGCTTTATGAGCTTTTAGCTTTATTGCAAGCTCTACATTTTTAGAGCTGAGTCTTAACTTTTTGCCTTGAACTAGGTTTGCAAGTATTTTTAATGTAAAAAGCAAATAAAAAACTGCTTAAATAAATTAAATATAAAAATAAAAATTATAAGTATATGTACATGTAATATATGTATTATTATATGCATTTTATATATGTAAAATATATTTTCAAATATATCATAAATTATTTTGATTTTATAACTTAATTGTAATTCACAATTATTTTTTATTTTTGTCAAGTTTTCAAGAATTTGTGATATTAAAAATATAGCAAAAATATAGATTATACATTATATTCGTATATATCTGAATATACGCTATATACCTGAAGCATTATATCCAATTGTACCATATCTTAAGTCCATTTTTACCTTCATATATGTAAATTACAAGCTCTGCAGGGCATCAGCTAGTCGATTATATTTATTCCCTTCCATTCAACTTGTAAACTTGTTGCTTGTCAAACATTACTCAATTGCGAACTGCTAAGCTCTCGTTCTGTTTCCT